ATGACCCTGCAGTCTTGGATTTCTTTTTTATAGAGTCCAACTCATGTTATCCTATAGGGATTGGAGCTGAATGTACATGGGCATTCTTCACCTCAGATTGCGTCTATAAAAACATTTGACCACTGTAGGAGCCAAAAGCCAATAACCACAGAGAGGTCAGTGTGATATAACTGGTGTGATATATCCGAGTTAGGGACATGAGGGCCAAACAGCATTTGACAGGAATGACTCGTTGTGAATTGTTAAGACACTGCCATCTGCTGGAACTACATGGCATGGGCATAGGGTTGCTTTGAGCTGCTTTTATTTTCAGGGTGTGTTATCAGCGTAGTAGGTCTGGGTAGGTCATTAGACTGTCACAGAGAGGAGGTCACACTGGTTTCCATGCTGCTCTGAATGGTATATCTGCATTTAAACCATGTATATACTTACTCTTGGATCTGACTGATCAAAGTCACATGCATGCCACAACAAAAAGCTATCAACACTGACAGAAAAAGCTTAATAGATCAGTCGCTCAGTTTCTCACACACACACACACACACACACACACACAAGTTTACTTGGTTTTCTATATTAATTATAGACTCTAAGGACATAAGGAAGTCAAGCTATAGTATGCTGTACGTATTATAGTGTAGGGAAGGGGCAATTGATTGTGGCACTGAATAGGGCTGTGAGCCAGTCTATCTCTGTAGACTTGTGGAAGGGACTTCTGTCAAATGCTTTTTGCTCCAGATTTGTGGACAATTGAAGATTCATGTTATTATCGTGGCTTGAAAATGTTAATCAACCATGGGGAATGCAAACTAGAATGATTCCTTAAAATCATAGATGCGGTAAAGGAGTAAATGTTGACCAGATTAGCCCACATTCAACAAATCTGATTTAACAAAGTGGATATTCGTCAAATCCGTCATGATTTACAGTTGAGGTCAGAAGTCTACATACACCTTAGCCAAATATATTTAAACTCAGTTTTTCACAATTCCTGACATTTAATCCTAGTAAAAATTCCCTTTCTTAGGTCAGTTAGGATCACCACTTTATTTTAAGAATGTGAAATGTCAGAATAATAGTAGAGAAAATGATTTATTTCAGCTTTTATTTATTTCATCACATTCCCAATGGGTCAGAAGTTTACATACACTCAATTAGTATTTGGTAGCATTGCCTTTAAATTGTTTAACTTGGGTCAAACGTTTCAGGTAGCCTTCCACAAGCTTCCCACAATAAATTGGGTGAATTTTGGCCCATTTCTCCTAACAGAGCTGGTATAACTGAGTCAGGTTTGTAGGCCTCCTTGCTCGCACACGCTTTTTCAGTTCTGCCCACACATTTTCTATAGGATTGAGGTCAGGGCTTTGTGATGGCCACTCCAATACCTGAACTTTTTTATTTTTTTTGTCATTTAGCAGACACTCTTATCCAGAGCGACTTACAGGAGCAATTAGGGTTAAGTGCCTTGCTCAAGGGCACATCGACAGATTTTTCACGTAGTCGGCTCGGGGATTAGAACCAGCGACCTTTCGGTTACTGGCACAACGCTCTTAACCACTAAGTTACCTGCCACCTTTGTTAACTTTGTTGTCCTTAAGCCATTTTGCCACAACTATGGAAGTATGCTTGGGGTCATTGTCCATTTGGAAGACCCATTTGCGACCAAGTTTTAACTTCCTGACTGATGTCTTGAGATGTTGCTTCAATATATCCACATAATTTTCCTTCCACATGATGCCATCTATTTTGTGAAGTGCACCAGTCCCTCCTGCAGCAAAGCATCCCCACTGCATGATGCTGACACCCCCGTGCTTCACGGTTGGGAAGGTGTTCTTCAGCTTGCAAGCCTCCCCCTTTTCCTCCAAACATAACGATGGTCATTATGGCCAAACAGTTCTATTTTTGTTTCATCAGACCAGAGGACATTTCTCCAAAAAGTACGATCTTTGTCCCCATGTGCAGTTGCAAACTGTAGTCTGGCTTTTTTATGGCGGTGTTGGAGCAGTGGCTTCTTCCTTGCTAAGCGGCCTTTCAGGTTATGTCGATATAGGACTAGTTTTACTGTGGATATACAGTGAGGGAAAAAAGTATTTGATCCCCTGCTGATTTTGTACGTTTGCCCACTGACATAGAAATGATCAGTCTATAATTTTAATGGTAGGTTTATTTGAACAGTGAGAGACAGAATAACAACAAAAGAATCCAGAAAAACGTATGTAAAAAATGTTATAAATTGATTTGCATTTTAATGAGGGAAATAAGTATTTGACCCCTCTGCAAAACATGACTTAGTACTTGGTGACAAAACCCTTGTTGGCAATCACAGAGGTCAGACGTTTCTTGTAGTTGGCCACCAGGTTTGCACACATCTCAGGAGGGATTTTGTCCCACTCCTCTTTGCAGATCTTCTCCAAGTCATTAAGGTTTCGAGGCTGACGTTTGGCAACTCAAACCTTCAGCTCCCTCCACAGTTTTTCTATGGGATTAAGGTCTGGAGACTGGCTAGGCCACTCCAGGACCTTAATGTGCTTCTTCTTGAGCCACTCCTTTGTTGCCTTGGCCGTGTGTTTTGGGTCATTGTCATGCTGGAATACCCATCCACGACCCATTTTCAATGCCCTGGCTGAAGGAAGGAGGTGCCCCGTCCATTTGATGCGGTGAAGTTGTCCTGTCCCCTTAGCAGAAAAACACTCCCAAAGCATAATGTTTCCACCTCCATGTTTGACGGTGGGGATGGTGTTCTTGGGGTGATAGGCAGCATTCCTCCTCCTCCTCCTAACACGGCGAGTTGAGTTGATGCCAAAGAGCTCCATTTTGGTATCATCTGACCACAACACTTTCACCCAGTTCTCCTCTGAATCATTCAGATGTTGATTGGCAAACTTCAGACGGGCATGTATATGTGCTTTCTTGAGCAGGGGGACCTTGCGGGCGCTGCAGGATTTCAGTCCTTCACGGCGTAGTGTGTTACCAATTGTTTTCTTGGTGACTATGATCCCAGCTGCCTTGAGATCATTGACAATATCCTCCTGTGTAGTTCTGGGCTGATTCCTCACCGTTCTCATGATCATTGCAACTCCACGAGGTGAGATCTTGCATGGAGCCCCAGGCCGAGGGAGATTGACAGTTCTTTTGTGTTTCTTCCATTTGCGAATAATTGCACCAACTGTTGTCACCTTCTCACCAAGCTGCTTGACGATGGTCTTGTAGCCCATTCCAGCCTTGTGTAGGTCTACAATCTTGTCCCTGACATCCTTGGAGAGCTCTTTGGTCTTGGCCAAGGTGGAGAGTTTGGAATTTGATTGATTGATTGCTTCTGTGGACAGGTGTCTTTTATACAGGTAACAAGCTGAGATTAGGAGCACTCCCTTTAAGAGTGTGCTCCTAATCTCAGCTCGTTACCTGTATAAAAGACACCTGGGAGCCAGAAATCTTTCTGATTGAGAGGGGGTCAAATACTTATTTCCCTAATTAAAATGCAAATCAATTTATAACATTTTTGACATACATTTTTCTGGATTTTTTTGTTCAAATAAACCTACCATTAAAATTATATACTGATCATTTCTTTGTCAGTGGGCAAACATACAAAATCAGCAGGGGCTCAAATACTTTTTTCCCTCACTGTAGATACTTTTGTACCTGTTTCCTCCAGCATCTTCACAAGGTCCTTCGCTGTTGTTCTGGGATTGATTTGCAGTTTTCGCACCAAAGTACGTTAATCTCTAGGAGACAGAACGCGTCTCCTTCCTGAGCGGTATGATGGCTGCGTGGTCCCATGGTGTTTATACTTGTGTACTATTGTTTGTACAGATGAACGTGGTACCTTCAGGCGTTTGGAAATTGCTCCCAAGGATGAACCAGACTTGTGGAGGTCTACAATTATTTTTCTGAGGTCGGCTGATTTCTTTTGATTTTCCCATGATGTCAAGCAAAGAGGCACTGAGTTTGAAGGTATGCCTTGAAATACATCCACAGGTACACCTCCAATTGACTCAAATGATGTCAATTAGCCTATCAGAAGCTTCTAAAGCCATGACATAATTTTCTGGAATTTTCCAAGCTGTTTAAAGGCACAGTCAACTTAGAGTATGTCAACTTCTGACCCACTGGAATTGTGATACAGGGAATTATAAGTGAAATAATCTGTCTGTAAACAATTGTTGGAAAAATTACTTGTGTCATGCACAAAGTAGATGTCCTAACCGACTTGCCAAAACTATAGTTTATTAACAAGAAATTTGTGGAGCGGGTCTGCATTGCCCATCCCTGGGATAGACTGGGGAATTCCAATGGATATCATAGTATGTGTTTCAACTGTGTAAATCATCCACTGGGTGGCGCCCAATGAGACCCACAGAACATAATCACAGTGTAGAGCTGCACAGTTTATGGATGGGTTGGAAAAAGCAATGCGTATGTTGACTACTAACATACTTTGATTATACAAAGTGAATAGTTAACATAGGCAATGACAACAACAGGGAAATTCAATTGCCTAACAATGGAAAATAGTGGACAATAATTAGGCTGTGTGATATGAGTAGTAGGCTACAGCACTTAACTTTTACTCTAAAAGCTTACAGTTTATGTGCCAAGTGCCAAGACAGGAAATACAAACTTGTGTTATACGGCATCAAATATCTCCTAAATTTAGAAGTATCCTTCACTCCATCTTAGCTCATTAAACATGACAAATCCTCATAAAACAGTTACTAAAATTAAACTTTATTTTTCATAGAAATTTCACATTTACTGGTATATTTCTAACATAGATTTAATTTCTTCCCTAAATCCCTTTATTTACAGAAATTAGCCGAAAACTACAAACAGACTTCAGTATTGTCTGCAGATGGAACAAGCTGTGTTGGGCTCCTTCTCATAGCCAATCCCTGAGAAGAGTGTCACAGTACTGCATAGTCATAGGTCAAGCCAGACACAGGAAACAGGAAACCAGTCTGTCCTCCTCTCTGTGTCCCACCCACCCCCTTGGACTAGGGCTAGGGCATCTGGGAACTGTAGGCGCGAGGGACTGTGTTGCTGGGAGATGTGACCAGAGCAGAGGGGCGAGGTGCGTCTTTTTGGGTACGAGTTCTCACTGACCCCGGCAACAAGTGTTGCCAAGTCTTGGGAATGGGTGAGCGGTAAGGAGACACGGGGGCGGAGCTAGGAGAGTGAGGACTGGAGTCTTGACTGTTAACGAGTCGACAGAACTCTAAACTCAGCGACTCTGGGTCAATGATGAAGGTCTGAGTGCCCAGGGACCACTGGGGGTGACCCAGGGGAGGCAGGGAGGAAACCAGGGATGAGGTCTGGGAAGAGCCTTCGTCTGAGGCCGACCAGGGGTTGGAGGACTGGGGTAGCTCCAGGGAGGGAGGGCTGCAGAGGGTCAGGGAGGTGTTGAAGGGGTGGGAGCTGGTGGAAAAAGGGCTGTGTATGATGGTGGGGCTGGGGGGAGCTGTGAGGGCGGCTCGTCGACTTACTTTGGGCGGGCTGCTCTTGATCTTGGGCACCTTGGCGCCACGGCCGCGGTCCCGGGTCTGCTCGTGGTCAAACTCCAGGTCCTCCAGGCGTTGGGTCAGCGCCAGCTTCTGTTGGATGGCCATCCGGAGCAGGGAGTTCAGGGTCTTCTTCTCATCCTCCGCCGCAGCCAGCTGCCTCTGCATCTCATCCAGCTGAGTCACATACTCATCACACCTAGGAGAGAAAGAGAGAGAGCGAGAGAGCGAGAGAGAGAGAGAGAGAGAGAGTGAGAGAGAGAGAAAGAGGGGGGGGGGGGGACACAAAACTAAGTCAAAAAACTAAGAAACACCCTTGTCTAAGCCGGGAAATACACTGCGCAACGTCTGCAACCATCTCAAACAGTGAGATTTAACCAGAGGTCAAACTCATCGTCTTTGCACAGTCTTACACATCTGTGTTGTAATTGGCTCCATGAGATCCCAGAATGCCCCCTCACCTGGTGGCAAACATGGCCCTGAGAGAGGAGAAGGTGGCAGCGTCCTCCTTCAGAGCCTTCAGCTCATTCCTCAGCTTCATCATGGTCTCTGTCACCATGCACTTCTCATTCTCATACTTGCTCTTTAGATTAGCCAGCGCCCCCTCTGCAGTCTGGAATAGAGAATGGGATTAGGTTTAATTGTGTAGTTACTTTCATGATATCAGATTATAAACTGTGTATATTAGCCACTTTATATCTCTACCAAAAAACAGGGCAAAGGAACACTGATCAAACCTGTTGGATAATGCTGATCTGTTTGTGCTGTTGCCAACTCCAACGGCCATTGGCGAGACAGCACAAACAAATCTGGAACTAGGCTAGGTACTCAGTTCTCTGCTCTTCTCACCTGTTTGTTGGCTTTGAGCACCAGCCTGAGTGTGGCAATCTGCTCCCTCTTGGTGCTGAGGAGGGACTTGAGCTTGAGGATCTCCTCCATGCAGGCCTCCTTGTCCTTGTCGAATAAGGGGGCCAGCTCCCGGGCTGCCGCCCTCTGTCGAGACAGCTGGAGGGAGCGGTCCACGGCCCTCTGCAGGTGTTTGATCTGATCCCTGATGATGGCGTTCAGGTTGTAGATGTTCATGGGCTCCTTACGCAATTCTCCACCCGCCTCGGGAGGGACGGAAAAGGAGGAGGGAGAGCCGTTGGAGCTGTTGATGACCGGGGAGCCCATGGGTGTGCGGGTGGGGCTCCCCTGACTACCTGGTGCTGGGGACTCCCTCCCTGTTGTCCCGTTGTCTCCACTGGGGGGGTCTTTGGAGGGCGAGTCCATGGGGCTCCGGGGGGCCTCTGAGAGCCCGGCGTTCACGGCGGCGAGGCGTCTAGCCAGGCGGGGGGAGAGGAGTGCCCGGGGGTCCTCGGAGCCCTTGAGGCTGCCGCTGCGGGTGTTGCGGCTCTGGCGGTAGTAGTCCAACATGACGCGGTTGGGCGTCTCATTGTTGCAGAGACACACGTGGTGGTAGAGCTGGGCCAGCTCCTCGCTGAATGTCACCAGGTCGTCCTGTGCCGTGTTCAGCATGCCATGGCTCTCCGTGGCCACGCCCGTCGCCGCCTGTAGTTCCGCCTCCAAACACGCCACCCTATCACAGGCCTTGCGGCAGCTTTGCTCCAGCCGGTTGACCTGCTCGTCCAGAACTTGGACCTTCTCATCGCTGCTGCTCCACTCCTCCCCCTGGCCCTCCACACAATGGTTAGATTTCTCCTTCAGAGCTTTTAGCTCCGCCTTTAGGTCGATCACCTCGGTTACCGCCACCTTGTACTTACACTCCAGACTCTCCATCCCGTGGATGTCCACCTCACCGAGCGAGGGCAACCCGTCGGGCGTCTCGGACTCCTGGGCGTCGGCCATCTCCTTGTCACTGTGGAGGCGCTTCATAGCGTTGATGCGCTCGGTGAGACGGTGGACGCACTCGTGCTGCTCTGTCAGGGCACCCTGCGTGTGCTGCAGCTGGGTCTGGGCCTCCTGCAGGTTCATCAGCAGGCTGGACTTCTCACACTCCACCTAGAGGACGGGAGGACATACTGCAGGGTGAGGACCACTCAGACCAGACAAGCATTACCACAGACACAAAGTTCTGAGTTTCACTTGATAGTGTGCTTCATTAAGTTCAGGAACAGTATGGTCAACTAAAAACTCACAACACTGAATGATACAGTGCATAAACGGTCAGGTCCAGTATACTGAAAGAGAGTAGCGGAAATACTGATCTCAATGCGCTTCCTAGGTAAACTACAAGGGTGTTGAGGCATATGGCAGTGAAGTATAATGTATCACGGCTTGCTTGTCACACATTAAGCACAACCCCCCTGCATGAGATTCCAGTTTTATGTCTTTTTGATCAGTTATCGTATCAGAGGAGTGAGTCAGTCATCCGGTCAGCCCTGTGCTGAGGCTTTGAAACCCTATTGATCCCCAATTGGAGGAGGCCCAGGGAAACACATTTCAATGGGTTCAGCAGTACAGTACCTAGCTAGTCCAATAAATAACCTATTGTGTATGTATGTGTGTGTGTAGAATGTGTGTGTGTGTGTGTGTGTGTGTGTACAGTAGGTTGCCACCTGGGACCTCAGATTTCACCCATTAGCACTGCACCACAGGCCAGGTAAACTGATGAATACCCCAGAATGATGTGTCAGTGTGTTTCTACACAGTGGGTGTGCTTTAGGGAAACTAGACTCCAAGGGAGGGAGAGAGAGAGAGAGAGAGTGTGTGTGAGAGAGAGAGAGAGAGAGAGAGAGAGAGAGAGAGAGAGAGAGAGAGAGAGAGAGAGAGAGAGAGAGAGAGAGAGAGAGAGAGAGAGAGAGAGAGAGAGAGAGAGAGAGAGAGAGAGAGAGAGAGAGAGAGAGAGAGAGAGAGGGACACACCCTGAGAAACTTGGCAGGAAGACGCTTGAAAGAACAGAATATTGTGTCCCATAATTGTTTTGTGTCTGTTCCTGTCCTATGACCAGTCTTTGAAGCACAGGCAACAAACACCCTGTAAATACAAAGGTCAATTCCCACAATGGGTTTTCTACACATCTCCACTCTACAGACAGAGATAAAAGGAAATCACAACACAGACAAAGCACAATCTGTAAGTTGATACATAGCAGTTATCCATTGATCTGTATGCAGTTATATGGCATCAGCCATCATATCTTTAATTTTTCACCAATAGACTAAAACACGTGCATCTCAGTGGATATTGTACGGAATAATTACAAACCACTTTTATGCCATACTTTTATGTCAAATGTTTATATTGCATTTTATATGCGTCACTGGTGTAGAGAGGAGTAGGCAGGAGGAAGTCGCAGGTTTAGAACTACTGAATTTATTTAAGCACCATAGATGAAAGCAGGACGAAACCCACAGTGCAAAATATAAAGTACTCAGGAAATAGTAGGAGCGATTCCTCTCAGGAAAACAAGCAACATATACAATGACCGACAAAGACAAATGACAGAGGGAGTATACAGTCGGAAGTTTACATACACTTAGGTTGGAGTCATTACAACTCGTTTTTCAACCACTCCACAAATTTATTGTTAACAAACTATAGTTTTGGCAAGTCGGTTAGGACATCTACTTTGTGCATGACACAAGTAATTTTTCCAACAATTGTTTACAGACAGATTATTTCACTGTATCACAATTCCAGTGGGTCAGAAGTTTACATACACTAAGTTGACTGTGCCTTTAAACAGCTTGGAAAATTCCAGAAAATGATGTCATGGCTTTAGAAGCTTCTGGTAGGCTAATTGACATCATTTGAGTCAATTGGAGGTGTACCTGTGGATGTATTTCAAGGCATACCTTCAAACTCAGTGCCTCTTTGCTTGACATCATGGGAAAATCAAAAGAAATCAGCCACAAGACCTCCACAAGTCTGGTTCATCCTTAGGAGCAATTTCCAAATGCCTGAAGGTACCACGTTCATCTGTACAAACAATAGTACGCAAGTATAAATACCATGGGACCACGCAGCCGTCATACCGCTCAGGAAGGAGAAGCGTTCTGTCTCCTAGAGAATGTTTTATTTTTTTATTTTTTATTTCACCTTTATTTAATCAGGTAAGCCAGTTGAGAACAAGTTCTCATTTACAACTGCGACCTGGCCAAGATAAAGCAAAGCAGTGCGATAAAAGCAACAACAACACAGAGTTACATATGGAATAAACAAAACGTACAGTCAAAAAAATCTATATACAGTGTGTGCAAATGTAGTAAGTTATGGAGGTAAGGCAATAAATAGGCCATAGTGCAAAATAATTACAATTTAGTATTAACACTGGAGTGATAGATGTGCAGAAGATGATGTGCAAATAGAGATACTGGGGTGCAAATTAGCAAAATAAATAACAATGTAAATAACAATATGGGGATGAGGTAGTTGGGTGGGCTAATTACAGATGGGCTGTGTACAGGTGCAGTGATCGGTAAGCTGCTCTGACAACTGATGCTTAAAGTTAGTGAGGGAGATAAGTGTCTCCAGCTTCAGAGATTTTTGCAGTTCGTTCCAGTCATTTGCAGCAGAGAACTGGAAGAAATGGCGGCCAAAGGAGGTGTTGGCTTTGGGAATGACCAGTGAGATATACCTGCTGGAGTACATACTACAGGTGGGTGTTGCTATGGTGACCAATGATCTAAGATAAGGCGGGGATTTGCCTAGAAGTGATTTATAGATGACCTGGAGACAGTGGGTTTGGCGACGAATATGTCGTGAGGGCCAGCCAACGAGAGCGTACAGGTCACAATGGTGGGTAGTATATGGGGCTTTGGTGACAAAACGGATGGCACTGTGATAGACTACATCCAATTTGCTGAGTAGAGTGTTGGAAGCTATTTTGTAAATGACATCGCCGAAGTCAAGGATCGGTAGGATAGTCAGTTTTACGAGGGCATGTTTAGCAGCATGAGTGAAGGAGGCTTTGTTACGAAATAGGAAGCCGATTCTAGATTTAACTTTGGATTGGAGATGCTTAATGTGAGTCTGGAAGGAGAGTTTACGGTCTAACCAGACACCTAGGTATTTGTAGTTGTCCACATATTCTAAGTCAGACCCGCCGAGAGTAGTGATTCTAGTCGGGCGGGCGGGTGCAAGCAGCGTTCGATTGAAGAGCATGCATTTAGTTTTACTAGCGTTTAAGAGCAGTTGGAGGCCACGGAAGGAGTGTTGTATGGAATTGAAGCTTGTTTGGAGGTTTGTTAACACAGTGTCCAGTGAAGGGCCAGATGTATACAAAATAGTGTCGTCTGCGTAGAGGTGGATCTGAGAGTCACCAGCAGCAAGAGCGACATCATTGATATACACAGAGAATAGAGTCGGCCCGAGAATTGAACCCTGTGGCACCCCAATAGAGACTGCCAGAGGTCCAGACAACAGACCCTCCGATTTGACACATTGAACTCTATCTGAGAAGTAGTTGGTGAACCAGGCGAGGCAGTCATTTGAGAAACCAAGGCTATTTAGTCTGTCAATAAGAATGCGGTGATTGACAGAGTCAAAAGCCTTGGCCAGGTCGATGATGACGGCGGGGGCATGGGCAAGTTGCAGCGGAGGGTGCAGAGCTGGTGGCTGGGGTAGGGGTAGCCAGGTGGAAAGCATGGCCAGCCGTAGCAAAATGCTTATTGAAATTCTCGATTATCGTAGATTTATCGGTGGTGACAGTGTTTCCTAGCCTCAGTGCAGTGGGTAGCTGAGAGGAGGTGCTCTTATTCTCCATGGACTTTACAGTGTCCCAAAACTTTTTGGAGTTAGTGCTACAGGATGCACATTTCTGTTTGAAAAAGCTAGCCTTTGCTTTCCTAACTGATTGTGTATATAGGTTCCTGACTTCCCTGAAAAGTTGCATATCGCGGGGGCTGTTCGATGCTAATGCAGTACGCCACAGGATGTTTTTGTGCTGGTCAAGGGCAGTCAAGTCTGGGGTGACCCAGGGGCTATATCTGTTCTTAGTCCTGAATGTTTTGAATGGGGCATGCTTATTTAAGATGGAGAGGAAAGCACTTTTGAAAAACTTCCAGGCATCCTCTACTGACGGAATGAGGTCAATATCCATCCAGGATACCCGGGCCAGGTCAATTAGAAAGGCCTGCTCGCTGAAGTGTTTTAGGGAGCGTTTGACCGCGGACCCATTACGGACGCAGGGAATGAGGCAGTGATCGCTGAGATCCTGGTTGAAGACAGCGGAGGTGTATTTAGAGGGTATATTAGTCAGGCTGATATCTATGAGGGTGCCCATGTTTACGGATTTAGGGTAGTACCTGGTAGGTTCCTTGATAATTTGTGGGAGATTGAGGGAATCTAGTTTAGATTGTAGGACGGCCGGGGTGTTAAGCATATCCCAGTTTAGGTCACCAAGCAGTACGAATTCTGAGGATAGATGGGGGGCAAGCAATTCACATATGGTGTCCAGGGAACAACTGGGGGCTGAGGGGGGTCTGTAGCAAGCGGCAACAGTGAGAGACTTATTTCTGGAAAGGTGGATTTTTAGAAGTAGAAGCTCAAACTGTTTGGGCACAGACCTGGATAGTATGATAGAGCTCTGCAGGCTATCTCTACAGTAGATTGCAACTCCTTCCCCTTTGGCAGTTCTATCTAGATGGAAAATGTTGTAGTTCGGGATGGACATTTCTGAATTTTTGGTGGCCTTCCTAAGCCAAGATTCAGACACTGCTAGGACATCAGGGTTGGCAGAGTGTGCTAACGCAGTGAATAACTCAAACTTGGGTAGGAGGCTTCTGATGTTAACATGCAAGAAACCAAGGCTTTTACGGTTACAGAAGTCAAGAAATGATAGCGCCAGGGGGGTAGGAGTGATACTGGGGGCTACAGGGCCTGGGTTAACCTCTACATCACCAGAGGAACAGAGGAGGAATAGAATAAGGATACGGCTAAAGGCTTTAAGAACTGGTCTTCTAGTGTGTTGGGTACAGAGAATAAAAGGGGCAGATTTCCGGGCATTGTAGAATAGATTCAGGGCATTATGTACAGACAAGGATATGGAAGGATATGAGTACTGTGGAGGTACACCTAAGCATTGGGTAACTATGAAAGAGATAGCATCACTGGAGGTACCGATTGAGCCGGTCTCCGTGTGTATGGGTGGTGGGACAAAGGAGCTCTCTGAGGCTGGTTGAGCGGGACTGGGGGGTCTACAGTGAAATTGTATAATAAGAACTAACCCAAACAGCAATAGGCTAGGCATATTGACATGGGAGAGAGGCATAACGCAATCATAGGTGTTATTCGAGAGGGCTAAGACAACAACTGGTAATGGTGGCGAAAGTTTGGGCTGAGGCTAAACAGATAAACAGGATGGGGTACCGTGTAAAGGAACAGTCCAGCAGGCATTAGCTGTGTAGCTGAGTGATCATAAGGTCCAGTGAACAGCAATAAGTACGTCCGGGAGCAATTCGTAGGCTGCTACAGCACAGGCAAGCAGGAGGCACGGCTGTTGATTGCGCGTGCTAGCAGGCCGGGGCTAGCAGATGGATCTCCGTGGTCGTCGCAACGGGAAGCCTGTTGAAGCCACATAAGACGATTACGTCGGCAGACCAGTCGTGATGGATCGGCGGGGCTCCGTGTCGACACTAGGAGGTCCCGTCCGGTTGACAGAGAGGTAGATAGCCGGGAGATGGGCCTGGCTCGAGGCTAGCTCAAGGCTAACTGGTACGTTGGGACAGTGGTGATTAGCCAACAACAGCCATTCGGTTGCAGCTAGCTAGTTGCGATGGTCCGGTGTTACGGTCCAGTGATTCAGTGATTCTGGCAGAAAATCCGATATGCTCTGGGTCGATAGCACACTGTGCACACTGGCCGATAATTGTCCAGGCTAGAGCTGGCTGGTAGGTAGTGCAGGCCACGGACAGTGGTGAAGACCGCTAATAGCAAGTAGCTAGTTAGCTGGCTAGCTGGCTAGTTTCAGCCGTAGGTTCTTGATAAAAATTAAGAAATAATAGAATCCATTTCACATTGGGTGAGGCGGGTTGCAGGAAAGTATATTTGATTAATGTACTTTGGTGCGAAAAGTGCAAATCAATCCCAGAACAACAGCAAAGGACCTTGTGAAGATGCTGGAGGAAACGGGTACAAAAGTATCTCTATCCACAGTAAAATGAGTCCTATATCGACATAACCTGAAAGGCCGCTCAGCAAGGAAGAAGCCACTGCTCCAACACCGCCATAAAAAAGCCAGTTTACGGTTTGCAACTGCACATGGGGACAAAGATCATACTTTTTGGAGAAATGTCCTCTGGTCTGATGAAACAAAAATAGAACTGTTTGGCCATAAAGACGATTGTTATGTTTGGAGGAAAAAGGGGTTGGCTTGCAAGCCGAAGAACACATTCCAACCGTGAAGCACGGGGGTGGCAGCATCATGCTGTGGGGGTGCTTTGCTGCAGGAGGGACTGGTGCACTTCACAAAATAGATGGCATCATGAGAAAGGAAAATTATGTGGATATATTGAAGCAACATCTCAAGACATCAGTCAGGAAGTTAAAGCTTGGTCACAAATGGGTCTTCCAAATGGACAATGACATACTTCCCAAGCATACTTCCAAAGTTGTGGCAAAATGGCTTAAGGACAACAAAGTCAAGGTATTGGAGTGGCCATCACAAAGCCCTGACCTCAATCCTATAGAAAATGTGTGGGCAGAACTGAAGCGTGTGTGAGCAAGGAGGCCTACAAACCTGACTCAGTTACACCAGCTCTGTCAGGAGAAATGGGCCAAAATTCACCCAACTTATTGTGGGAAGCTTGTGGAAGGCTACCCGAAAAGTTTGACCCAAGTTAAACAATTTAAAGGCAATGTTACCAAATACTAATTGAGTGTATGTAAACTTCTGACCCACTGGGAATGTGATGAAAGAAATAAAAGCATCAATAAATAATTCTCTCTACTATTATTCTGACATTTCACATTCTTAAAATAAAGTGGTGATCCTAACTGACCTAAGACAGGGAATTTTTACCAGGATTAAATGTCAGGAATTGTAAAAAACTGAGTTTAAATGTATTTGGCTAAGGTGTATGTAAACTTCCGACTTCAACTGTATATACAGTGATAGAGTGGGGATTGGAACCAGGTGTGTGTAATGATGACAAGACAAGACCGGGGTTAAAGAGTGAAGGGCATTTGCCATCAGCAGGTTCGGCAGCAGCTAGAAGGCCGGTGATGCCGAACACCTGAGTTGGACAGGAGGGGGAGCCAAAGCGAAGGCTGGTGTGACAATATGGCTGCTATCCAGGATAAATTGAGTGAATCTAATGTAATGCTTTATGGAAACAGATATAAATTACAACACAGTGAGCATGACAAATTAAAGTCGCCCTCTCCTGAAAGCAATTAAGAGCCTGGCGTTGTTTACTTAATGGAACCTTGATTAATTCAAGAGGGGACATCCATTTGAAGAGTAATTCAAACCTCTAGTGATACATTTTGGATCCACAAATGTAATCATTCATTTCGCCACTGACCTCAGCAAGAGAAACAAGTGTGCGCCTTGGCATAGATTATGTCTGGAACTCTATTGGAGGGATGCAACACCATTCTTCCATGAGAAATTCCATAATTTGGTGTTTTGTTAAGGCTGGTAGAAAACGCTGTCTCAGGCGCCGCTCCAGAATCTCCCATAAGTGTTCAATTGGGTTGAGATCTGGTGACTGAGAGGCGCACGCACTCACTCACACACTCACACACACACACACACACACACACCCTTTAAACCCCCTATGCTCCTTTGAGACTCCTCTTTCAAAGTCACTGAAATCTCTTCTTCTAGCCATGGTAGCCAAAATCATGGGCAACTGGGCATTTTTATACATGACCCTAAGCATGGGATGTTAATTGCTTAATTAACCACACCTGTGTGGAAGCACCTGCTTTCAATATACCTTGTATCCCTCATTTACTCAAGTGTTTCCTTTATTTTGTCAGTTACCTGTATGTACTGTATGTACATTATGTTTGTGTTGTCCTGTGTGTGTGTGTTGTCCTGTGTGTGTGTGTTGTCCTGTGTATCCTCCCTGTGCATATGTGTGTTGTCCCTCTGTGTTCTCTCCTGTCCCTGTGAGGGATTCTCTAAGAACCATCTCTCTCCCTCTGCTTTCCGCTCTCCTCTGGATCCGCTGCCCTGCGCTGTCTGACACTAATCGCCCAGACAGGCCTCAAAATTGCACACGCCTTACCCTCCTCCACGCCACCGCTCTGCCGTTCTACTCTTCCCTGTCTGCTAACGTCCCTACATTTCCCCAAAATCTGCCAAATGAGCCCCAATGGCCCACTTGAGATGGAAGTCTTTAGAAATAGTTCTGAAATTAGTCATGTAAAGCCATTGGTAAATCATATGGAGCGTGGTCACAGACTTATGGTCTGCTAGAGAATAAAAGATGGACGACATCTGACAGGCTTTTTTTTTTGTCTTATTCTCAAAATGTCACCCCCTTGTGATTGGTTCGATGCTGCCTGCAGTAGTGTGACGAGAGCACTGACTGTTGTAATCATTGAGTCAGGTTGTTCGGTTGTCTAGTCAGAATACTGTGAAGTCGCTAGTAAGACACTCCCATTCCCTAATGAAATGTGCTGTGGACAGAGGGGGTCGATAACCGTCTTCTAATGCATTAGGTGTGTAGGCCAAATCGCTGGTTTTGTCTCTCTAAGTAAACCACATTGATTTGCTCAGAGCAAATGAGGAAGGTGGTCTGCTTGTGCTGTCTTGCCAACTCCTATGATAATTTTTACCTGACAATGACCATAAGAGTTGGCAAGACAGCACAAACAGATCTGAGACCAGGCTAACTATTCCTCAGACATAGTAGTGAGAAGAACACACTATGTTTCTTGACCTTTCAGCTAGACTAGAGACCCACCTGAAGGAGCTGCTGTTTGAGTTTCTGTATCTCAGACAAGTTGAGCTCGCTGAAGAGGTCTGACACAGGACCGTGCAGCCCTTCCCCATTCCTGGGCAGCCGGTAGTCGCCGTTTATCTTAGCCAGTCCCAGGTGGCCGTTACAGTCGCCATTACTATCCTCATTCCCGTTGGCGCCATTGGGAATTGCTGTACCATTACTCCCGACCTCTTCGGTGGCGAACTTGAGCCCGTCGACCGTGGCGGTGAGAGCCAGGTGGGCTCCGGCCCCATACACACTGTCGCTGAGGGTGATGTGGTGGGCCAGCTCCTTCCTCAGGCTGTTCTTCTGCTCCCTCTCGCTCTTCAGGGCGTCCAGGGCCTCCTCCAGCTGGGACTGAGAGATGTCCTTCAGACGCAGAGCGTCCTCCAGCTGGCTGTTCAGCAGCACCGTCTCCTCCTCCAGAACCTTGATCTCATGCTTCAGACCTTCGTACTCCACCTGGGGGAGAGGGGGAGCAGGGGACAGGGGACAGACAGAGGACAGGAGGGAAAAGGGACACACAGATAGAGAACAGACAGACAGAAAGGACACAGATAGATGACAGGGTTAAGTAATGTACATTATAAGTAGTTTTAAAGCCGCAATCAGCAGTTGAACCAATAACCAAGCGTTATCCCCACCCCCGTTTTGGTAAAAAGCTGAGGGATTGGGCTGGAGAAATGTAACCACTCTCAAATTCATAGACAGAGCTATGGATGCAATGACTGACCATCCATGATATCAACATTACCGTTTTATCTATGTTTTGAGGCTATACAGTGTTTGTTTATATTTACTTTGTTAACAATTATTGGAGTAAAACAAGCTAGTATTTTGGGTTCTGATAGGGTACGAGAGTTGAACCAAGCTCATGAGGCATTTATAAGTTATATTCTTCAAGAATCAATGGGTACATATCATTAATTTATTTGTCCAAAAATTGATGTAGCAACTGCAGATTGCCCCTTTAAGGTCAGACAATAAGGAACTTGGTTGAGCTGATTCAACATTTGAGTAACGTAATTTGCTATGACTGTGTATGAGTCACTTTAAGATGTATTGATGACTGTGTGAGGTAAACAATAACGGTAATGGCTGAGAGACAGGTGTGGCTGTCTGTACTGTGTGTGCAGTAAACCCTAACAGTAATGGTGTTGATGCTGACCTGGTTCTGTTTGAGTGTGGACACTAGTTTCTGCAGGGTGATGTTCTCCTCCTCCAGCTCTGTGTAGTCCTGTAGGAGACGGGCCTCTCTGAATTTATACTCCCTGATCTCCTCCCTCATCCGGCTCCGCTGCAACTCCAGCTTCTCATTACTCTGGGAGTAGAAAGGAGAGAGAGAGAAGGAAAGTGAGGGAAAGTCAGGTCCTAATCTGCAAACTATTCAACAGATCAAGTACATACTGTATAATCATTCACAAAACATAGAATCGTTTGCACTGACTATGTATAGATCACCTGCTGGCCGCCAATCTACAGTATCTTTACTGGGTAGTTACAACATTATGTCATTATATTAACTACAGTATCTTTACTGGGTAGTTACAACATTATGTCATTATATTAACTACAGTATCTTTACTGGGTAGTTACAACATTTTGTCATTATATTAACTACAGTATCTTTACTGGTTAGTTACAACATTATGTCATTATATTAACTACAGTATCTTTACTGGGTAGTTACAACATTATGTCATTATATTAACTACAGTATCTTTACTGGGTAGTTACAACATTATGTCATTATATTAACTACAGTATCTTTACTGGGTAGTTACAACATTATGTCATTATATTAACTACAGTATCTTTACTGAGTAGTTACAACATTATGTCATTATATTAACTACAGTATCTTTACTGAGTAGTTACAACATTATGTCATTATATTAACTACAGTATGAATGTCAATGTGTCGAAACATGAACTAAAACAGTCTGGCATGTATCAGCACTACTTTGTCTCTGTGTTTGCACCATAGTATGTGAATCAGAGGCACTTTGCTGCATGTTCTGAAACTCCTGGATGCAGTAATTACAGATGCCTTTGTTCTGCTTGATCTCCAGTCCAGATACCTGGCCTCTCGCCTTCCTTTAATGCACCAAATCTAAATAGGCCACGCACACAGTATCTCCTCTGATGTGTTGATGATGATCAGACTCTGAGACTGTGAAACAAATTGCCCCTCTTGAGTAAAAAGAAAAGATTCAGCACTCTCCCTCGCTGCAAGATCATTCTTTTGGGCCAATCGCAGAGAACAGAGGCAGCAGCTATAGAGCTCTGAACATGCTGTGGTGGATCAGATGATATATTAGGTGGGAGAAATTCTAGTAGTGACCGAAAGTGTCATAAATCTGGGGATTCGGTTACAAGTCGGGAAGATAAGCCTCAGCAGCAAAAGCACAGCGTTTTCATGTGTATGTCAACGCCAAGAAGAATAGAAAGCCACTTCAATATAAGAGCACTTTATCTTCTCTTGTCATTCCTTAAAAAAGACACCCACCCACCTCATGACACACTATACAGCATTGTACTTGAAAGCACAGCGTTGCTACTCATCCTGATGCAGCACTACCCCCTGTTGCTACCTAGATACTTGAGGAAACTTACGGAGAAGACAATAGAATGTCAAAAATACATATGAGAAAAACAGCTAATGAACAAACTCTGTGACATTACTGTTACTTATATATGACCCCGGAGGTTTGCTAATGGGTAGTGTTTTCTCATTACATATTCGTCACAAAGCAGGGCATTAGGACTGAGCTGTCCATGATGTCCAGGGGATTACTGGCCAATGATCAGCCAGTGAAGGTCTATAGAGGCTGGGGTAATCCGGGGCTCCTCCACACCACCACAGGGTCAGGTCAGGGCCAGTGCACCGTCAACCTCTAGCACAACACAACCACAATGGGAAAGGCCAATACTGTAGCCCAGTGTCCCATTCTACATCAGGGCCAGGATTCATTTCAACAATGTAGGTTAACAACTAGTGACAGGCCAGAGCCTATTTCAATTACAAACAGTACAATACACAGAGCCTACTATTAACCTAGTCTCTATCCTTTAGCCTCCAAACCTAGAAAAACACTTTCTTCACTACATTCCTTTGGTTTTCCTAGATGAAAATACTGCTGATACAGAAGCTGTTTGGAATCCATATGAAACAAGTTGATTAGATGCAGATAGAGACAAATGAAGCCCATTGTGTAGCTGCAGCATCTGTCTCCCACATTAAAAAAGAGACCGGCTTCTAATTGATATGCGCCGCACAGGCAAATGAGGTCTACACAGCAAGGCAACAGGCTAACCAACAGATCATCAAAGAGCCAAGGGCTGCCATGGTCACGAAGGAAACAGGTGACAGGTGCATGTGAGAGATAGCAGAGACAGTGTATTGGATTGATTAAACTAGGCACAGTAAAAATGGGAAACTGAGGGGCCAGTCGTTTTAAAGAGCAACAGCCAGAATATCCTTTCATTCATTAGGAGGCTTTTCATAGGGCAGTACCTGTCACGACTTCCTCCGAAGCTGCCTCCTCTCCTTGATCGGGCAGGCTTCGGCACTCGTCGTCACCGGCCTTCTAGCCACTGCTCCTCATCTCATCATTCCATTTGTTTTGTCTTGTTTTTACACACACCTGGTTCATATCCACTCATCAGTACCTGTATAAGTATTCCCTCTGCCCCCATGTCTTTGTGTGTGATTGTTTTCTTGTGGAGGTGACGATAGCTCGGTGGAGCTTTATGTATTGTATCGCTGGGATATTCACCCGTGTGCTTTGTTTTCTCCAGTGCGCCGTTATACCACATTGTAGAGTTTTACGCATTGCTGCGTAACGCTGTATTTGCCGAATAAACCATTTATTCTGTGATTTACCCTCCTGCGCCTGACTCTGTTCAAATCACCCGCTACAGTCCCAATGGTTTCTGGCCCAATTACATGTATAGCCTATGTAATCTTTCAATATGTTTTAGACTTTGTTACTTGGTTACATTATTTATAATCTTTAACATCCGAGACAAATAATATTGAATTTGAATCACAATAACTGGACTCACATTTTTGAAAAGCTTGGAATGACAAGTGAAGCGGAAACAAACAGTGACTGTGCGACCCCAGTGGTCCCTGCCAACAGCGCGTGGAGCAGCTAATCTAACTAGTGAATGAACTGCTGCGGCTCCCTGGCTGGGAGGGCACAGTCTGCCCTGCACTGTGTGATGGGAGAGCAGCCCGGCTCACTCAGGGACGCACATGTGCCGAGGTCAGGGCATTTCTCTTATTCCCTAGCTTAGCACAGGATTTGCCCTCTACAATAGTGTCGTGGCCGCAGCAGCGTCTGACCTCGGCCCGAACCCCTCTGCGACTGCTGACACGTACGTAACCCCCCCCCACACAGGCATGTACGCACGCACACCTACACCAACACACACAGGCTTGTACGCTTACGCACACGCACACACACACACACACACACACACACAAACACTCTGCATGACCCCAATCCACCCTTCAGAGTGACCCTGTGATGGCTACTGTATCTTACACAGAGTTTGACACAAACACCACCAACAACAATAAAACAGTTCCCTATCAGCAGGGAAGAAATTAAGACAAGCAAGATGCACCTCATGTTAATTGACAAATAAAATCTAAATGTGTGACATTCCAGTACTGGCTACAGCAGGCTACATTATGTACAGAAGATCATATTGTGGATTCCCAGTAGCCCACATGTACACAGTGTAAACGTGAAACACCATGCTACAGCTCAAACTGAATTACAGCATGACACTAGTCTGAGGTGTGAGTAATTGACATCAGTGGTCAAAAGTCACTACCTCTCTGTGCTCCTGCAGCACGGCGTTGAGCCTTTCACTCTCGTTGGACGCGTTGGATGCCACCGAGCGGCTCAGCTTCAGCTCTGTCTGCAACTCCAGCACCCGGCCCATGTAGTAGGCCTCCTTAGATGCTGACTCCTGCAGCAGCGACTCCTCGTTGCTCTCGCCATCTTCCGCCACCTTACGCTGGTTGGAGTAGGCCTGGCCAAACGCCTGGGGAGACAGAGAGGGAATAGATTAGAATAAAGAATAGATACAGTACATTGTTGTCTATTTGGTTAGAACGGAAATTCGTCTTGGAGAGGCAGAGGGTTAGTCGCGTGCCTTGCTCAAGGGCACAATGGTAGTGGTAGTAATGATCTGACACCAGCAGCGCTCAAGTAGCCAGTTCAGTCCACACTTTTTAATGGCAAAGCATCTTATACACTTTGGATATGGTTATGGAGAAGACTATGTCCCACCAGGGCCATTCTTTTCACCCACAAAGCTCCAGGGTTGTCCCTCTTGGCATCAATGGTATTGTGCGATGATATTTCAGCCCCTGTCTCAGATCAATAGACACAGTGTCCCCATTCTCCTGACACAGGTTTTCACACAGCGCTCCGAGCTGACTTGTCATGACGAAGGAATCTTGGCTTGATGGTTGATTGACGTGATCACAGCAGTGATCAACAACAGCAGAAACCACTCAGCCAATGACCCCTGGCTACCGGCCATGTTGGAAAGGTGGATCCTGTTCACATCGGTAAAGGCTATCTCTACAGCACCAGGGTTTTATGGTTAAGGTTCATGGCTTATGGATTTTTTGGCTTATGGTTTCTTTCTCTCTACAGTTCTACATGATTTCGGCATCTGTATGCTGTACTGGGAGCACTGGTCATGCCAAATAGGGCTGTTTATCTCCCAGTACAGTCAGCACCTGCCAGACGAAGAAAAATGCTGTCTGGTCGGTATGCAGAGGGACGTGAGGCACAGAGCTCTGATTTTCACTAAACTGTCAGAGAAGCAGAAGCCTCGGATGGCCAGACAGCCCAGTAGAAAAAAATAAAGACTTGTAAGGAAGAGGAAGGCTGAATCTAAACATGAGATGGTGCCCCCACGGAGCAGAGCAGGGTCTGACCTCAGAAGACCAGGAGGTGGCTGAGTTGACGGCAGCCATGGCTCTCTTGTGTCGGTCTGATTGATACTGTGAATAGACTGTGCCCATAATTAAATCAAAGGATAAAATCATTATTACAGTATTTTGATACATTTTAATTTAACTGTAAAATTGTGATGTCTTTTTTTATTGAGATTTCTTCATGGGAAATGAATATGTACATTTTCAAACATTTGTGTATTGTACATAACATAAAAATATAACATTAGTTGTATTGCTATCTGACAGTGCTAGTTGTGCATGTCTGAGAGACAGAGGTCTGGACAGAGAGTTGTGTCCTCTCAGATGTAATAGTCTCAGTACCACACTCCCTCAAAACCAAACCCAGTTGGACGATTCCCCCAGAGAGCTTGAGATAGACTCTCTCTGATTGGTCAATTAATAATTCAGGAACACTGTTTCCACCTAATTGTCACCATCTCCCCAACATTCCAGAAGAGGAATTAATCATTGATAAGATACAAGCCTTTATTAATTGTAATCATACTACCTTAAATGAACTTGTTTCTCAATGCACCATTTTTCTACCACACTTAATTACGAATAGATGTTTGAGTCAACATCACAACTCAAAGTGTGGAATAAGCAGCGTGCAGCCTTTTGAGGTGTATTTGTAGACAGGGGTAATTTATTATGGTTAAATCCCTTGTGCTCCAGTGCAGATCTTAATCCAGGGAGAGCGCAATAGAGCTTAATGTGAATAAAGTTAAAGCCCCACAAAAAATGTTGTGTGTACCTACAATCTGATGATTTAGCTATTAAGTTACCAGATTTGACCAGATGTCATGGTGTGTGTGTGGAGGGGAATCGTGTCTGTGCGTATATATCAGTACTTTTCTGTTCAGTATGTGTGTGTGTGTGTGTGGGGGGGGGGGATACGGAGGTTTAGCAGCAGAAGATGTATACAACATCCATCCTTCCATTGACCGTTGACCACACACACACACACTGACAGCTGATCCCCATCCCGTCTCCACGGAAACAACACAGCACAATATGGTGGGTGGCAGTACAGGATGGACACGCACACATGCACATGTGCACACACACAATGAACCTGCTCAGAGATGAGAGGACTCTTTCATAGAAAGAGAGCTCAACCATTCATGACTACTGAATGACTGGAATGCAAAGCCTCGGTCACGGTCATCATGGTCAATCAACCACAAACTGCCCCATATGACACAGAGAGTCACCCAATCAACCATTCAACGTTTACAGTCAGTATCATGATAACACTGATCAACTGGCTCGTGGAACAGGAGAGGATCCCTATGTGACATTTAGAATGTGTTGTCAATTTGTTGCCATTGACACTGATTACAGTATAAGCCACCTTTGTTTCCCCGTCTGTTCACACCAATGATTATATACACTAGATGACAGATAGGGGGTGCTGTGTTGAAGCCACCGTGCCTCCATCTTGGCACTCTCTCACCATTGTAAAACATATTTTGGAAGCTATAGAAATGCATTTATTAATGTCAACATTCGTTTTTGCAACATTTATTATATTACAGACACCTTAATGCATACTTAACACCACACACAGAGTCTAACCAACCCTTAATTCCACACACAAACACAGTCACCAAAGGAGCTTCTGTCTGGCCACCACAAAAACATTGATGTGAGGGGCTTTCTCTCTCTCTCTCTCTCCTCTCTCCTCTCTCTCCTCTCTCTCTCTCCTCTCTCTCTCTCTCCTCTCTCCCTCTCTCTCTCTCCTCTCTCTCTCTCTCCTCTCTCTCTCTCTAGGCTTCATTTGTTTCAGAGGTCCCTCGTGTCTCTTCTCCTCCCAGTGCCACACCACAGAGTGATTCTGTTAGTGATTAGGTGATAGGCCCCCTAGCTCCTAGAACAAAAGCTGTAATTAATTCTGGGCTCGACAAGGGTGAGCGAGCTGGCATTGTTGCTTCTAGATGAGGGCCTGTCAATATTCAGGCAGGCAGGAGGGCCAGGCTCCACAGGCCCCACAGGCCCCACCAAAGTCCAGCTGGGTCCCTGGAGCAGGAGCCTGGAGCCTGGCTGGCCCCCACTTCGAGGACCCTCTCCCCCTCTTTCCTCTCTGGAGGACAGAGGGAGAACAGACAGAACGGAGGCTGCCTGTGATTCAGAATCAGCGCTGCTCATCCACAGAGACAGGGGATCTTGGAAGCATTATAGGAGAGGCAGATGGTTTTCAAACATCCCCCTTCAAAAGGAAGCTAGGCACCCTCAAAGCCTGCTCTCTCCATCTGCTTCCTGTTATTTTCTACAGAAATCATCACACTGTAACGCAGCTCAAACACATGGGAGGAAAACATGTTCCGGCTCCCTGTTGCAGGAGGCATCCTCTATGACACACGGCTTAAAATAACAACATGTCTATACTGTAACTGTATATGACATCAGAATAACAACATGTCTATACTGTAACTGTATATGACATCAGAATAACAACATCTTCTTGCCATGTCACATCAAACATGGTGGATATGAGGATGTTTAAAGTTTAATGTCATATCCTGGGGTGAGAATAATAAGAGGTTAACGAGCAGGGTCTAGTCCATGGTATTGTATAGTGATTATTATTGTATACTGCATTATGGATTCCTACCCTGAGGCCTCCAGGTCTGGCCCGTCTGCGATAGAATCCACACAGACAGCCCTTTCTATAGATATTCATCCCTCAGGCATAGGATGAGGAGCAGACAGATCTCCAGTCGACACAGGCTGGTGCACTGGTGTATGGTGTGTTGTGTGTTGTGGATGGTGTGCGACCCTGAAATCCTTCCCCCCTGCGACATACCCTGATTGGGAGGGGTGGGACAGCTCTGGGCCATTTTTAGACCCAGAGAGCTCAGCAGGGAGGAGACTGAACTACTTCTATAGAACAGTGATTCATTTCCAACCTAACCTCCAAGGTAGAGCCCTCTGTGACTTCCCTTCCACTGTGATAGGATGCAACACAAACAATAAAAACCAAGGCTAGTCAACAACCGCCTGATTGCTATGAATGGAAAAGCAACTTAAAAATGTAATTACTTTTCCAGTGTTAGAGAGGTGAACTTGGTAGATTAAGGTCAAAGGTAGGTCGATTGATAATGAATAGATCAGCGGACTATGTAGATTATTTATTTATTTCAGACTTATTTTGGACTCGCCTGTTTGGACTTCTAATCAATAAATCACTGGTATTAACACCTGAAGGATTTATTTCACAAATGACACCTAAAATATCCTTAATCAAATCACAGTGCCCATCCTCCACTCTTTTCCTCTCCTATCTACCTCAATTGATGTGATGCATAAGTCAATACATTGTATTCAAGGCAAAAAAGTTGGTGATAAAGTTGAAATAGGTAAATTGGTGAAAGACACAGACAGACAGGCAGACTTATACACTCACATGAAGAAATTGGTAAGATTCAACATTTTTTACCCTTCAACCCCCTTCACTTCCTGTAACCCAATTTAGTCACTAACCCTTATCTAATTAACAATTAAATCATTTCCCCTTCATGGCAAAAAAGTAGGCCTCACTTGAAGCCTGAAATAGAGATAAGGTGCTTTTGAGTGACATCAGTAGAACAGTTGAGGCTAGAAACACAATTCACATATGGGATCGTTCAGCAGACGCTTCCAATGAACGCAAGCCTACACCTGGTCATTTGAAATTAACTCTTCAATGTGAAAACTTGGTCCCACAGAGAACAAGGCCTTTCTTCCATAGAAAAGCATCACCTACAACCCTTACATAACCATGACGCCCCCGTGGACTGCGATTTAACTAGCTAACCGTCCTTGCGCACAACCAATCGTGACCTTATAGGGATGCCCTGTGTTAAGGTTCAGCTTCCTGTGACAACAGGAAGTGGCTTAATTCATCCTCAACATGGGCTCTCCCTGCAGTTACATAAAAACAAAACATTCTTAATGTAAAGACTTTGAAACTCAGGGCATTGTTAAAGAGTGTCCCCTGGAGGCCGTACATTGAATTTCAGCATCCTGTGATTACAGGAAGTGACATATTTGGAGGTCATAAGGGCGGTACTACTATGGCTGACCCTGTAAAACAAGACATTTCACTGCACCTATCCGGTGTATGTGACAATAAAATATATACAGTACCAGTCAAAAGTTTGGACACACCTACTGATTCAAGGGCTTTTCTTAATTTTTTATATTTTCTATATTGTAGAATAATAGTGAAGATATCAAAACTATGAAATAACACATAAGGAGTCATGTAGTAACCAAAACAAGTGTTAAACAAATCAAAATATATTTTATATTTTAGATTCTTCAAAGTAGCCACCCTTTGCCTTGATGACAGCTTTGCACACTCTTGGCATTCTCTCAACCAGCTTCATGAGGAATGCTTTTCCAACAGTCTTGAAGGAGTTCCCACATATGGATTAGAAAATAGAGAGAGAGAGAGATAAAGAGAGGGAGGGAGGGAAAGAGAGAAAGGGAGGGAGAGGGAGGGAAAGAATGAGGGAGAGAGAGGGAATGGGAGGGTGAGTAGGGAGTGAGAGAAAGGGGGAAGGGGGGGAGGGGAGAGAAGGGAGAGATAGGGGGTGAGGTGAAGGAAGGAGGGGGGAGAGAGAGAGAGGAGGGACATATTTAGCTTCAATCTAATTGAATGCAATGTATTAACTTTGACCTGTCTCTAACGCTAATCTCTAAGCATCAATATTGTGACACTAATCTTCCCCCCACTGAATGCAATATATTCACTTAGGCATCATGTCTGTGATGCCTATCTCTAGGCATCAATACTGTGACACCACTGAATGCAATGCATTCACATAAGCATAATGTTTCTTGATGCATATCTTTTTGCAAAAACTTACGAGATTTAAGCTTTTCTGCTGCTACCAGGCTGTCCTGGCCAGATGGTTAGCTCTGGGATTTCAGCACCATGGAGAGAGGCACATGTATGTCATTGGGGATTCATTCATCCAGCTGTGGGTTTCCTCAGGAGAGCTGTGTGTCTGTCTGTCTGTGTATGAATGAAT